GTTGCCATAAACTTAGTTGCTTAAAGGGTTGTAAGTCAAAAGTCTCACTGAGCTAAAATCAAGGGCTCAGCAGGGCTTTATTCCTCCTGGAGGTCCTAGAGGAGCATCTGTTTTCTTGCCTTGTCTATCTTCCAAAGGCTCTCTGCATTCCCTGGCTCACTGTCACTTCCTCTGTTTTCAAAGCTAGCAGACCCTTGTGATTACATGGGCCACCTGCATAATCCAGGCTGATCTTCCCCTCTCAAGATCCTTAAGTTAATCACATAGTTATGTTACCACATATGGTAACAGTCACAGGCTTCAGGGCTTAGCACATAGATATCTTTGGGGGCTATTACTCTGCCTACCACACCCTCAATCCTCCAGTCCAGAAATAATTCTAACTTCTTAGTGTTTTTCTTTAGGTTCTTTTTGTTCTGCATGTATGTGTTTTTTTTTTCTCTTTACAAAATGGTTATTGTGTTGCATATATTGTTTTGTAATCTATGTTTTACCTTTATATTTTTTAAGATTATTTATTTGAGAAAAAGAATGACAGCATGAGCAGGAGGGGTAGAGGGAGAGAGAATCTCAAGTGACTCCATACTGAGTGTGGAGCTTGAAACAGGCCTGATCTCACTCCTGAGATCACGATCTGAGCCGAAACCAGGAGTTGGATGCTCAACCGACTGTGCCATCCAGGTCCTCCCGCTTTCAACTATTCTATAAACAGCTTCCTGTTAAATATTCCTCAAAAGCTTGAGTTTTACTGTTTTCATGACATTCAGTTTTATTGCTCTATCATAATTTGCTAAACACATTCTCTATTATTGGAATTTAGGCTATTTGAAAATTTTTGCTGTCCTTAATAATGTTCTGATTAACATATGCATACATAGACCTTTGTGGTCAGTTCCTTGGATATTTCTAAAAAGCAGATTCCTCTTCTTCTTAAATTAATTTTGAGTGTGAAAGTAAGTACCATGAAGATATTATTGAAATACATAATTTTTGAATGTGAAGTTTTCTAATAAGTCAAACAAGCTAAACTACTCACTTCATAGCTGAGAAAACTGAGGATAAGAGAAAGTGACAAGTTAAAGTAATATCATAATTTAGAAAAAGAACTAGATTCAGCTATTTGAAACTTTAGTATGACAAAGAGCATTACAAATAAAACACAAATGACAGGGTTCTATGTCCAAGTACAGGAGGTGTAGGGGTGGAGCACAGATGTGGCAGGTGAAGAAGACAGCAGAATTGGTGGGGAAGTTGGTACATTGAACAAACAAATAAATTGATTGAGCAAAGAAGTAAATATATTGAGGATCAAGAGACTCAGGTTTCTCACTGTTGGAGAAGGTACTTATTTTTAAGTGTGGAAAAGGGGAAGTCTAGAAAGAATCCTGAAGCACTGGATTGGCATTAGAGATATTGGCAGAAATGCATGGTTTTAAAATCTATACACTGATAGATATAGGAATAGTTATAGATGCATTCATTTGTGGGTGTGGGTGTGTATGGTACATATATAATACATATACTTCTGAGCTCCATCCACTGAGAGTGACCAGAAACAGTGACACTTCAGTAGCAATGACAGTACTAAGCCCAGATCTTAATACCATCTTCTACTATAAGAACCCAAGGCTCTTGGGTTGATCCTAGGTCTGTGGCAGGGAAAATGTAAGATGAACCTGGAATATCTCTTTGTGATAGAAAGTAAGACAGTGCTCAAAGAATGATGGGGTCATGTTCAAAGGACACAAGAGTGTCCTGAAGTTCTTCCAGTAGTCAAATCTGGAACACTTTGAGCATCAAAATGATGAAAACATCAAAATACAACTGAAGAAAGTAGAAACTCATACATCAAATTGGTATAAATACATATATGCATATATACATAAATGAAAGATGGAGAAGGAAAAAACTCTTGTTTGCAGTAGATTGCCAGTTAATAAACATAGAAAACATGATAGAAATAGAGAGTTACCACTATCACAGTGATGGCAGACCCAGGAGAAAACTGGCAATGGTTGCTAAGTTTTGTGGGTAGAAATTTGATGAGGAATAAAATATTGGTGTACTCCTGGAACATCTTTCTACAGAGTATTACTAATCACTGAAAAAGGAAAAAATAATGATTTTATGGTGGAGAAACATGGCTGGAAAAAAGAAGGAAAAGTCACAAATGACAATCTAGAAAAACATATTTGTAAGTTGTATAACAACCAAAGGATAAGAGTTGCTTATGTACAAAGAGCTTCCACAAATCAACATTTGGATTATAGTCCAGTTTAAGTGGGGTAAAAGATATGATAAGGCAATTAAGACAAAATATATAAAGAGGCAACAAACATGAGATGCGCATCATCGCGAAAAATCAAAGGAAATACTGAGGAAAACATGATAACATTTTTTCCCCTATTAGACTGGCAAAAATGAGATGATAATATGCCAGTCTCTCCATTGGTACCACAAAGCATGCCAACCAGGAAGGAAATTAAGGTGCTTTCTGAATTGATATTACTTGCAAAATGGCTAGAGTATGCCAGTGATTTTGCAAAAAAAATTTTTCATTACATATATTACAGTTATTATGAATAAAAATTTAATATGCTTATATATTCTTATTTATATTATTTATACTTTTGTTATATATATAACTACATCTCATTTTATATCTATTTTTATATTATATTATTATATTTTATTATATATATATATATATATATACACACCTGTATACACACACACAGAGCTAATCTACTTCCCTTGCCAATGTAAAAACACCCTTTGGTGTACTCACTAAACACTTCCTCCAGTTTTTTCTATTGAAAATTGTAACACAGATGACCATATATTCAAGTATTAACAGGAAGGGACAAGGAGAGGTCATAATATGATAAAATCACAGATATATGGGTTAATATTTGTTTATCTCATCCATCAAATGATGCCTGAATTCATTCTCTAAAAGTCTTGCCACCACACCTAGTATTTGCTAGAATACCTCTGTTTTTCCTTCAACACATATTTACTGAACACCTACTTTGGGCCAGGGCAGAAATAGTGCTGAGAATTGAGTGGGGAGCAAAAAGAGACATGGTACATCTCTTCGGGGAGCTTACAGTCTACAGAGGGAGGTAGCTGTAATCAGATAATCATATAAATAAGTTTAAAATTGTAACTAAGCTAAAGTGGTGGGAAGGAGAGGTACTTGGTGATATAAGAACTCAAAACAGGGAGACTAGGCTTTGTCAGGGAGGTCAGGGAAGGCTTCCCTAAGAAAGTGTGGCTTGAGCTGAAATATGATGGGGGGGAAGGGGGTTAACTAGGTGAAAAAGAAGAGGCAAGAGCATTTTAGGCAGAGGGGCAGCATATATAAAGGTCCTGTGGCAGGAGATAGTATGATGAGTAAGGGGGACTGAGAGAGGCCAGTGTGGTTGGAAGAGAGAAAAAGAGGGGAGTTAGGTGAGAAAAGCCTGACAGGGCACATGGGACCAGCCAAGGTAAGGGTGGAACCTTAATCCCTGAAGCCCAGAAGAGTGGTAAGCCCAGAGACAGGATCAGCCCTGTGTTTGAAGATCGCTCTCCCTGCCATGCAATTTTCCCCATACCAAACTTGAATAAATAAAAACAACAAGTCAACAGTCCCCATAGTTCCATCCTCGTACCACCCCAGGGATCACAGATTAAATCCTCCTTGCTCATGAAGCCTCCCCTGCTTCCCTGCCACTCAGCTCTTTCACCAGAGGGCATTGTTTCTGTCCTTCCTCTACCCCGTAGATTTCTGGATGTCCTTCAGTTTGTCCTTTCTCTCTCAATGTGTGGGCCTGAGAAAGGAATGCAGAACTGATCGAGGGCCCAGGAAGGGAAATGGAAAATGATTATTGAGCAAGCTGAAAGCTGCCCAAAACATAAACTCCCACTTTGAAACCATCATCTGACTGAAGTGGAGAATCATAAAACTGAGAATAATGAATATGAAACAACCAAAGTACATTTGCAGTGTTGGACAGCCAGAGGGTATCAGTAGAGTGAGGGCAGAGGCCATTTCACCCTGTTGACAGAGGTATGGTCACCCAGCACTTACAGAGGTAGAACTGAACATTTTTAAAACTGAGTCCTGTGAAGTTGTACTGAATCTAAGCATTATAATTTGCTGGTGGGAGGTGGTGAGAAGCAAAGCAAAAAAGGCTAAAGTTTTCTGGACCATTATATATCAGAGCCACACAGGTGCGTATGAAGAATCTTACAGATGAAATATTGAATAAATAAAAGCATGTTACACAATAATAATATATATTTTGTTATGATCTATAAAAAGTTTTAAAACATGCAAAATGAAACTATCATTTATGGGTTTCTCCACACGTTATCAAAGCTTAAAGGTATGGAAGGGAATCAGAGCCGCAGCTGTAAGCTGGTGGCTGCCTCTGGAGGAGGAGGGGCCACATTATGAGGATTGGCAAGGAGTGCGCAGGACTGGAGTTGGTACCAGCACCACTTTACTTCTTAAGCTGAGTGGGGGCACGTGATGTTTATTACATTATTATTATGGCCTTTTTATATTGATGAAATATGTCCATCCCAATACATTTTTAAGATGAAAAAATGGACAACCTAAGTTGCTGGTGAACTACTGATAAGAAAAGGAACGGAAACAAGGACTATCTTAACGTCTTTCTAGTGACTGATGTTCTATTTAAGCACAAGTTTTAGACAAGTTCAATCCCTGGATGGAATAAAATAGTCTCACAATAAGACACGGGCAGAACACTAATAGGCAGAATTGAGGCCCCATTGACAGAGCTATGTGGGATGAGTTGCAGTCACTGAAACTCCAGCAGTACCCAAACAAGAAGATCCTGGGCACAGACCCCATAAATGCTGAATTTACAGAGTCAGCTCATCCGAGGAGCACTGCATCTGAGCAACTGCCTGATACTGCCTGTTGTATAGGTGCAGACAGTATGGAGTCTTTATATATTTTAGTATTTCACGTGGCATCAGCTTACCTGCTGTTCCAAGGTGGTTGGATCAATAAATGTCACCAGGTCTATAGAAAAGTAACCAACCACATTTCTCATTTTACAAGCATTTCCAATTTTGAGGCACAAAGAACTGAGAACTTGGGGATCCACCGAGGTCTGAGGCATGGTGGTACCAGTAGAGATGAAGGGGCCTTCTGCATGAAGCTGGTCCCCCGTGGACAGCACTCTGATTTCTCCATTGGGCTCGATCAGCATGTCCACCGTCAGGTTGGTGACACTTTCTGCAGGTGGGAATGCTTCCATCGTGCCTCCTGGTGGGAAAAGTATGGAGTAGGTGAAAAGGTGCTCATGAGATTATGTCCACTTAGCACAGGAGGAAAAAGCCCACGCTTTGGCAGATGGACGTGAGCTCAGATCCTGCATCTGCCATGTCTTGTGAGATTTTGGGCAAGTAGTTTCAATTCTCTGAACTTCCTTTTTCATCATCTATAAAATGGGCATAATAAAACCTACCTCACCAGATTGTTGTGAATCTTAGAGATACTGTATCTATAGTATTTATTCCAGTATTTGGCATATACTAGGACTCAATGAATGTCAGTTTTCATTCACCATAAAGACACCATAAATTCATCAAGGCTGTGCCTATTCATAACATAAACAATGGACTTAAGGACCATAGGCAAATATCTCAGGGGGGAATGAACTGCTCATTGTCCGCGTTTATACCTCGATGACAAGTACTCTTTCTATTCAACTTCACTGCTTTTTGAAGTTTCAACAGGTTAGGATTTTTATCAGGAATAAGAGAACACTGACTGTTATGTCAAAGGACTCCTACACAACGCCAGTTGTCAAGCATTTTTTTAAATGTAGAGTGCAGGAGATGCAGCCATTCTTGAAGAAGGGTCCCTGCTGATAATGAGAGCTTTATAATTTATCATACTTTACCTTTTGCTCTGAATAACAAAAATCACAGAGGCAAACCTGATGCTCAGCCACAGCAACAATATGAGCCCTGGATAATTTTGTGAGTTAGCTTAGGGATGTCTACAAAACTTACATGGTCCTGATATTTTGTTGTAGGCCTAACATAAATCTTACTGTATATATACCTTTTTATAGAAAAAAATTTTAGTATTATTGATAAAGAATAAGATAGCATCACTTAAAAGTAAAAACAATGAAGTGTTCCCTAGACAGGGCAGCCTCTGGAGCCCGAGAGTATTAAGATAAACTTGGTGCGTATTTCACAAAATTGCTGGGATATGACCTCTGCCCACAGGCTTTGAACAGTATATATGGTTAGATCCTGAGATTTTAGCAGTTCTCAAATGCAGCCATCTGTTACTTTATATAAAAGGGAGTTTCCTTAAGTGTCTATAAGTTTGTTTGGAGCCGGCCCTAAGGAAAGCTGAGTTTCACAAGGGAAAACTGTTTTATCTATTTAGTTAGTATGAGATGTGCTTTTCTTTAAATGGGGCCTACTAGTGTGTGCTGCACCTAAATATGAGTTGTTGGGGAATTAGCAAGGTAAATGCAACAAAACAACAAAATCTACAAAAACGAACACAAATACCAATTTCGTCTCTGAGTGAATTAACTTTGCGGCTTTATCCGTCACCTGTGTTTTGAAAGATTGTGCCTCACAGTGGAAACACATTATCCTTTATACTTACAAGATTACTTGAGTTTTTTTTGTTTTGTTTTCTTTGTTTTTTGTTTTGTTTTGTTTTTTTACTTCAAAGTAGCTTATTTGTACTGTCTTCTCAGCATTATGACCATGGCTTTTTCATTCTTAACTTTTTTTCCTTTCAAAGCAATTAATTCCTCTTTTTAAAAAGTATATTGCCTTTGATGCTAGTCCTGTGGCAAGGTAGAAACTGAATGTGTAGCACGTTTTGTAGCCATAAGCACACCTGAGAGAGCAGAAGGGAAATTAAACAGGCAAGAGTGGAAGGTGGTGAGAGATGTGGCACGAGAGTCAGGAAACCTGGGGGGATGGCCCGACTTGGTCAGTGAGCATTTATGCAGGGCCTGCTGTATGTACTGGGCTCAGAGCCAGGCAGAGGTTTGGAAACACATGACTTCCTAGAACTGGGTTTTTGAGATGTGTTAGCATTGTAGGGTCTAACTGTGTTCCCATTCACTGCATATTTGTTGTGTGGTTTTGCCCTAGTGACTTCCTAGCTTTGAGCCTCTCTCTCTGTCTATAAAATTGGCTTAATAAGGCTTGTTGTGCTTCCCATAAATAGTTACCGTGTTTACAACATGGTTGAAAGGAAGAAAGGGTAGAGATAAGCGGGAGGTTGAGGCACAGCCTAAGCTTGTGGTTATACAGCTCAGGTGGGACAGTAGCTGGGAAAACCCTTTCTAAGCTACCCGAAGCTCCCACGACAATAACAAGATTAGAGGATGGTTTGCAGGCTGACCATGGAAGATTTGGAAACTCCTAAGTCCTATTCTGGATGCACCTGGAGATCTTCAGGGTCTCCCTCTCCTAACAAAAAGAATCCCTTATTCTTGACCATTTTTGTTGTAGGTACCTTATTTTCTCCCATTTGTGCATATGGGGTTGACTCTGTTAGTTTTACTTTTCTGTCAGTGGGTGCGTGTGGAAATTTGTAGAATCACAGAAGTTTAGATTTGAGAGCACATTGGAGATCATGCATCATCTCCCCTTCTCCCTGCACCAGTGAAGAACCCCTTCACATCATGCTTGTTAGATGGCTGACCATCCAGCCCGTAGCTTGACTAGTTCATTAACCTGTTGTTCGCTACTCCCTCCCACTCCATACTGCCTAGCCCATGCATTCCAACAAGCCACACATCTGTCCTTTCTGGTGCTCTCCTATACACTGAGCTAGGATGCATTCCTTGATAAATACACCCGCCAGATCCTGCCAGGACTCCCGCAACAACACAGAGGTAGCCTCTTATTGGCTCTGCTATGTATTCACAGGGTGATTTGGGGTGAGTGACTTAATCTTTTGTACCTCTGTTTCCCCTTGTGTAAAACAAGGGTGATAATGGTACCCACCTGATAGGATTGTTGGGGGGATCAAATAAATTAATGTGCATATGCCTAGAATAGTGTCTGGCACATGATAAACACTCCCTGGTGTTCATCATGTTATCTCCACTGTGCTGTGATCAGCGCTGTGCCGTTGCTGCTGCTCTTATCTGACCTCATGTTACAATGTTATCGTATATTAGTGCTAATATAATTGATAAGGGAAATCTGTGTCCTAAGATGGCTGACCGAGCCAGCGAGAGTCCCAGTCCTTGCCCTGGGGCTCTTCCGGGTCCTTCTCCCTGCCCCGCCTCGCGCACTCGCCAAAAGTGCCAAGTATGCGGAAGTAGAAATGTATAAATTAACCCCCTTGTTTGTGCTTGGGGCTCAGACCTTTGGAGATCACTCTCCTCTGAGCCCTCCTGTGTTAAGTAAACCTCCTATTCTCCAAGATCTCCGAGTGCAGTTTGGTTCTTCTGTCGGGTGATCCAGTCCAGGTTCCGTAACATAATGACTTTTATTATCACCTGACAGCGGTGAATGGAGTGTGAATAGGTATCTTCTGTGGCCTGTTATACTAGCCTCCTCATGTCCTTCACGTGGTAAGCAGGTAAGAATATCTGCCTTAGGTTGTAACCTCCTAAGAGTGAGGAGCCTTGCATGGGCATGTGGTCCCCACAGGGACCTCTGCAACTGGGGACAAGCATCACTCCCTCCATTCTGCCCCTCATCCACAGACCTCCTCATATCCTTAGAGGGTAAAGGGTGAATTAGGAAGATGAAAAGGACACTGGAGGACCCTTACTTAGAAATTCTGCCTTCAGAACTGGAGGTGAGACCATTTCTGCTGTCTCACAAAAGAAAGGGGAAGCGAACATGTATTAAGGACCCATGTTGAGGCTGCGTGGTAGAAACGTTCACATCTGTATTGCATTGAATCCTCCCAGCAACCCCATGAGGTAGGTAAGGGCGGGACCTGGGCCTCCGAGAGTTTCAGAACCTTGTTCAAAGTCAGGGATGAGCTCCATAACCAGGTCATCTGATTCCAAAGCCCACTTGTCGGGGAAGTCTGAGGTGCAAACACGGGGCTGAATCTTGAGCTATGTCTGCCATGCTTGGTGCGCTCAGCTCCTATTTATGTAAGAGGCTGAGTGCAAGTTAAATAGACAAAGTTTAAAAGAGGGAAAAAAGTCTGCTTATAGGGGCACTTATGTAAACCAACACAAGAGATGCAAGGTATTTAAATTGGCGTGAGGTTGACCCAAAACTGGAACTCAAGGTTGTATGGACCAATCCTCAGTAGAAACTTTACAGTCTTATTTACCTTGACTGAGAAACGTTTGGAGGAATTTCCTCCACGTCGGGAACCGTTTCTCATTGACTGGCTGCGCGTGCTGTGCTAAAATGCCTGCTAGCTCCTCGGAGATCTTCACCAAAGCTGGCTCCTGCAGAAACAAATTAAATAGAACCACAAGCAATTTTACTACAGAAATGAAAACTGCTTGTGGAGTGATTAAAAACCAGGCCTCCAACAGGCAAAAAAAATGTGGTTACTGTTTACCCAGAGTCAGAAAGCCATTTTGAAATTTTTCTCTAATTTTCTAGGCATTTCAGTTTTCATATTTTAAAGTGATTTGTCCCCTAAATATTGCTGCTAGTCGTTCCTATTGTCTCCGAAGGGCAGCCTTCTGTCTGGACATCAGGAAATCCGGCTGCAGACCCACTGCAGCTGACCAGCTGAGTGTCCTTGGGCAGTGGGCCTCTCCACTCTGGGCCTCAGTTTCCCTTTATTGTAAGTAGGGTTTCATTACCCTATCCCTAAGATCCTTCAGCCTGGAACGTTTTTTTATTCTATGACACTAACCAGGCTGACCCTGGGAGAAATTATGGAGTTGGAAGGGTCTTTCTTTGGCACCTCCATCTTTTTAAGCTGTGTCCTTTCCCCTGTGTTGGGGAGGCTCCACATCCTAGATCCATGGGATCAAAGCCTTAAACTTCAGGATGATGCTGTAAAGGTGGGATTATAGGTGGGAGCAGGTTGGAAGAGTGAGGTGGGGAGGGGGGCTGGCATTCCCCACTAGGTCACAGCCTCATCTGACTAGACCTAAGACAAGCCCCCCTACCATCATCAGACAACCCAAACCACAGAGTCCCTTGTCAAAATGAAAACAGCCGGAAATCCCCTAAAGAATAAGATGCCTGACTTTTTGATATAAAAAGCCTCAGGTTGCCAGGGCCACTTTTTTTTTCTGGATAGTCTTAGTAGACTCTCTAAAAATCTTCAAATAGAAGCCACCTCTTTAGATTTTATTTCTGGCAGAAGTAGGGCAGGGCACTAGATATAAACCATTTGATGGGCAGTATTCATATTCAAAATATGGGACACCGACAAGAAAAACTCGGGCTTCCTTGGGGTTGCTGGGGACCGTCTGGATCTATGTGTGAGTGCTCAGTAATTTGGAAGAATTGGAAAAGAACCCACTGCTTTGGTGAGTGGGGTTGAAAGGAGTCTTAGAAATAATCTGTATACTCATTTATTTTCAACTTCCCTGACATTAAAAAAGTGCCTATCCTGCCCCCACCGCCCCCCACCCCCAGCTCCTCGGGATATCTGTTTCATTCTGGGTCCAGAAAAATCTATAATAGAAGACAGATATCTGAGAATATACTCTAGGCAGGTCCAAAACATCTGAATAATTTCTGAAATATTCAGAAAATCCTGGTGGGAGAGTCTCATTAGTTAGCCTAGGAAGTGCTTGACATGCAAAACAAAAATGCCAGTGAGAAAGGGAGAGTGCCTGGCCAGCATGTTCAGGATGAATCACTGCGCAGCAGCTGGAGGTCTGTTCAGAAGGGTTGGGGAAGCTGGCTCAAGCCACCAACCTTTGCCTTGGGAGGCGGAGGCAGGGAAATTGCTGGCAAAGCAGGGGGCCTTAATCCTTCCATGTTCTGCACCATGTACACATTTCCTCTGCTTTTTACCAGACATCGCCTCAGACCTCCAGAGCCCTGCATCTCAATCATAAACAAGCATACACAGCGCAGAGTTCCAACAACTTGGACCCCCTCGTTGTTCCTTCTTGGAACACCATCCTCCAAACCCACCTTTCTTTTTGTTTGATACTTGTTTCAGTTAAAAGCATTCTACTTTATCGAAGAAGACGAATTGTCTGTGATTCATGAGGTGCCCCAAAGCTGCGACGCCCGAGCATGGCTGTTGATTCCCACCCTGCTCAGGGAAAGCCCTGTGTCAAGGAAGGAAGCCTCACAAGCCAGGCCCTCCACAACAGTGGAGGCTTCTTTTCTGTTCACCCATGATTAAAGGGTCTTTCCTGCCCTGCTTCTGAAAAATGTTAAGACATTGGCGCCGTCACCTGCCGTGTGGCTATTCGCATCAGGACAGTGCAAAGAGAAATAATTCATTTATTTACTCATGCATATATCAATAAATTACAGGTATGCGGAGCATTGAAATCACAGAGACAGAGTGTATAGTGGTGGCTGTCCGGGACTGGGGGCGGAGGGTGGGATGGGGAGTTGGTGTTGCATGGGTACAGAAATCCAGTTTTACAAGATGGAAAGAGCTAGGGAGGTGGATGGTGGCAATGGCTGCCCAGGATTGCGAACATATTTACGACCACTGGGCTGTACACTGAAAAATGTTAAAGACGGTAAATTTTATGTTATATATATTTACCACAATAAAAGAAATGGGAGGAAAAGTGACAAAATGTCAGGCCTTCCTTTTAAGTAGCTGAACTAGGGGAAAAGGGTGCCTGTGTGTTTTAGGGGATGGAGATGGAGTGGAGTCAGTGAAGGAATAGGTGGAAACCTTGCTATCTAAATCTTGAAACTAGATCTCCATCAACTTGAGGATCAAGCTGAGACTCCCCAGACAACGCATGAAGAGGGGCCACTGTGACTTGGTCTGTGATTCCTGATGTAGCCTCACCACTCTCCTCTCCAGCTCCCAGCCTTGCCCCAACCTCCCCTGGTTGAGTCTCTTTCCTTAGCCTGCCTTCCTTTACTTCCTCCCCTGGCTGCCTCTTCCTTCTGAGTTAGTCCCAGTCACACCTCCCCCAGGAAGCCTTCTGGGTCACCAGCTGGGTATCCTTTCTCTGTCTCTCCAGCTCCGTGGGGGCTCCCTCATGGTATGGCCAGTGGCTTTTGCCCCAGCGCTCTGCCCCAGTGCTCTGCACAAGGAACACTAAATGTGGAATGAATCATGGACCCAGCCCCAAACAGCTGAAGTTCCAGAATAAGGGAAAATGTGAAACCTCTCAACAGGCCTCCCTCCTTGCTGCCTCAGACACCTGGGGGGATGACCACTTAAGAACCACCGATGCTTCCTGGGTGGATTTTATGGGATTCCCTGCCTCTGAGGGGCATTGGGAAAATAAATGAGGTGACATTTATGAAGTGCCACCTCAGATGCAAACACGCTATGTGAGGGCCAATAATTGAGGCTTGTGTGAGGCATCTGGACACTGTGCCAAGCAGCCGCCGTTGCCTCTGCTCACACAGCCAGCCATTCTGCCCGATCCGCAGCATTTACGCCGTGCACAGAGCCACAGCAAGGGGGTAAATTTCCTAGAGGAAAGTCTGCTGCAGGAATCTGGAGGATGAATCGTGTCCCATCATGAGAAGTACACAGCTGAAGGCACTGGTGGGGTAATGTTTGCTAGGGGATGCTGGGGCACATGGAGGCAGCTTGGGGCCATGATTAACTCTCTAAGAAAAAGATATGGGTTGGAATAAGGGGGAGGTATTAACTATTCCATAAACTTATTTTGAAAGCTTCTTTTTTTTTAGACTTCAACTTATTTTATTTTTTATTTTTTTATTTTTTGATGTAGTGTTCCATGATTCATTGTTTGTGTATAACACCCAGTGCTCCATTCAGTACGTGCCCTCTTTAATACTCATCACCAGGCTAACCCATCCCCCC